CCCCGAATTTGTGTTGTGTTTGTGGTTCTGTTTGCCCCTCTTTTATCTGTTGCTATTTTTGTGCTGCCTCCCCCCATCTCAGCATTTTGTAAAGTGGCTCCTGGGGAAATATCTGCTTAGTCCCTCATTCCATTGTTTGGAAGAAAGTAGGGGTGGCAGAAATGTGATGGGGGGAGGGGTCTTTTGTACGGTTGGATTAATAAAAAGACGTGAAAAATCCAGACAAGGACTCCTTGCTGTTTATGTGCACAAAGGTTGGGATGAGCTGTGGTCACCACTGGGAAGGGTACTTGGGGGGATGTATGCCTTGAGGGGCCCAGGTGGTGGGAATGGCAGGAAAGGCTCCTGGAGCGAACCCTGGTTCTGCTGAGCCTGAGCGGAGAGAGTCCTGTGTGCCCCACCCCGGGCCCTGCGTCCCCGCTAAGAGAAAGTTTCTTTTCTGAGCACATTCCTGGGCCGGGCCTCGAGCCAAGAGAGAGCTTCGGCTCCGAGGCCTCGGGAAGCCAGTGCCTTTAGCGTTTCTGGGTTTAGCGCCCATTCTGCAACCCCAGTTGTTGGGGTGAGGAGTCGAGTGTAGCATCAAGGGTGGGGAAAGGGCTACCCCTGGCTCAGCAGATGCTTTGGGTGCTTTTCAGGCCCCTCCCCTTTCAAAGGAGCAGCGGTTCCTTAAACCGCACTGGAGCCCAGTGGGGAGGGTGGCCGGAGGGCTATTTCCAACCCACGATTCGCCACTCCCCCCTCCCCCATCCCGCAGCTGCCTGTGTCTGTCCTGGGACCAGCCTGGCTTCTGTCCCTGTGGTCTCGGAGACGCCACCCTTTGCCTTTCAGTTTTGGGTCTTCCTCCTAATAAGCAGGCACTGGGAGAGGAGGGGTAGTTGCCCAAAATTCAGTTTGTTGGGATTCCAGCCTCCCACCGGGAGGTAAGCCCAGCTTTCTGGGCCGTACTGGCGCCCTGTTGTCCCCCGCCTCCCCGCTCTCAACTCCAACTCTTATTGGCCAAAAGTTTCCGCCCCCTCAGGGAAACTGACTTCCCATTGGCCGGTGCCTGATCACATGACTCCCCTCCCTTCTGGGTCTGGGAACCAGGGGAGGCCGCACCAAGTTCAGCTGAAGGCTGAAGTGAAAGCCGGATCAGGTAATGCCCGGCGGGGAGAGGGCCCGCAGGTCTGCGTGGGACGGAGGGTGGCGCAGAGGAAGGCGGAACTCAAAGGGTGGGCCCCGCCGGGGATCTGCAGAGCTGCTGTTCACTGCTGGACGGGGAGAAGGAAGACCATGGAGACCAAAACAGGAACTTGCTCTGGGTCCCCCAGCAAATACTGGTGGCCCTGGGTCCTTTGCTAGAGGTTTGGGGGAGCCACTCTTAGAGGGGTTGAAATGCGCTAGACCAGGCTTCCCAGCTTTGTACAGAGCGGGAGAGCTCCCCCTTTAGCTGTCTTTTGGCAATAGCAGAGGTCTCTGTCAGTCCTTAAAGGACGATTTTGTTGACTCCTGCCTGAATGAAAAGGGAGGGGTGGGGGGGGGGGGATGGGGAGAAAGAGATCTAAAAGCATCGAGGGGAAGGGTGGAGTTAGACCGCAGAAGGAACCTCCTAATAAGGCAGTGAGATGCTGGCTTGGGAGGACAGGGGCATCTTTTGGAATCTTGGGTGAACCCAACCAAGAGAGATGCCAGGGCTTAGAACCCTGAGTGCAGGGGTCCCAGAAAGGTCTCCTGTTTGAGTCTCAGAAGTGTTTGTCTTGTTGACCCAAATACCAGTTGCTGGTTTCCATGAGACAGTGGGTCTGACATCACCCTCGTTGCCATGGTGCTTGGTTCTGGAGGACCTGAGCAGGCGGTACACAGCCAGGGATAAACAGGGACTTCAGCCCAAGCTGCTGCCACTTCCTTCCTGCCACCACCTGTTAGTAGGCACACACAGCAGCTGGGGATGGGGAGTGATGACAGAACAGCGGAGGAGGGGCCCGAGAGCAGAAGGCTGCACAGCAGGGGCTCGCGGACGCCTGTAGAAGCTGGTCAGGAGTGTCCTTTGGACTTGGTATCATGGCAGCCGTCCTCCTGTCTCCTGGTGGGATGGTTTGTGTGCCTGGAGGCCTAGGCATTGGGGAAGACATCTGTCCTGGGCTTGGATCTTGGAGGGCCACGAGAGGGTGTTAGGGCACTGCGCACCTTACACCTGCTCAGATGGCAGGGGCAGCGGTGGTTTCCCGAGGAGGACTGCCATCCATCTCCCCCAGCCTCCCTTTCCTCCCCAGGGTTTCCTCACAGAGTCCTTTTCCACTTGCCACTCTTCTAGCCCCTCAGTAAGGAGTTATTTATCCTCCTCTCAAGGGTCACAGGCCAAGACTGGGGAGGGGTCAGCCTTTCTCTTCCTTCACCTTTATGCCAAGTTCCAGTTGCAGCTGGCCAGCCTGTGGGGACAGTCTGGGCTTTGGATGAAGGTTTAGGTCCCTCTCTTTTTACTCGGCTTTGTTTCAGGCTTTGGAAACTGGGGGAACTTCCTACTCCCACCCTAAGTCAGAGAGATTAGCACGGGTAGGATCACAGCCCTGACTTTTGCAAACTGTAAAGTCTTTATACATGAGAGTGGCCATGAAGCCTTTTTCCCAGTCACCTTCAAGTTCCCTGAGATGAAACTGGGGTTACTAATAAGGGAACAGAATTTAGAATGGAGAGTGAGGATGACAGAAGATTTACTAAAGGTACATTCAGATGGATCTAAGCTATGCCAGTTAGTCTCAACGCTGCCTGTAGGTGAGAATCTTCCGGGAGATTTTAAAAAAGGTTCATGTTGCCCTGGCTGGTGTGGCTCAGGTGGTTGAGTATCATCACTCCATGCACTGACAGGTCGATAGATAGTTCAATTCCCAGTCAGGGTACGTGCCGGGATTGCCAGCTTGATCCCGCAGTGGGTGTGCAGGAGGCAGCCAATGGATGCCTCCCATTGTTTCTCTCTCTCTCTTCCATCAATAAAAACATATATATATATATATATATAT